TTGAATGCCTGTGATCTTTGGGCCCTCAGACAACACTGAATTAAAAACAGGCATGATTCTGTGATGGACATCATTGCATGAGCTCAGGTATACTTCCAAAAATCACTCGCTGTGAACATAGTTCACTGAGCCATCCAAAAATGCAAGGTAAAGCTCTAATACGGAAAGAGGAAGCCATATTTGAACATAATCCATCTTCTATGGGCCAAAGTTCATTTAAAAGGGTCTGTTGCAAGGTGAAAAACTCTTCTGTGGTCAGACAAATTGAAATTTGACATTCTTTTTGGCAACCATGGGTGCTACATCTTCTGGACTAAAGAAGAAAGGGACCCTCTGGCTTGTTATAAGCGCTCATTTAAAAAACTTGCATCTCTAATGGTATGGGTGTACATAAGTGCGTATGGAATGGGCAGCTTGCACATCTGGAAAGGCACAATCAATGCTGAAAGATACTGTATATCCAGGTTTTAGAGTAGCATATATTCAAGCAAAAATGGGACAACATTCCTCTCCCAAAACAACAGCAACCGGTCTCCTCTGTCCCCAGACATGTAGTGTTGTTAAAAGAAGAAGAGGTGAGGCTACACTGTGGTAAACATGGCCCTGTCCCAATTTTTTTTTTAGAGACGTGTTACTGCCATAAATATAAAAATTTGCTTATTTTTTTCGTAAAATGGCACATTTTCTCAGTTTAACCACTTTCCCTCCTGAGGATTTACCCCCCTTCCTGACCAGTCCATTTTTCGTATTACAGCGCTTCATTATTTTAACTGACAATTGCGCAGTCGTGCAATGCTGCACCCAAATGAAATTTACGTCCTTTTTTTCCCACGTATTGAGCTTTCTTTCGTTGGTATTTACTTGCCTGTGCGGTATATTTTTTGCGCAAAAACAAAAAAAAATTGAGAAAAAAAAAAACTATATTTTTGGCTTTTTTGCTATTAAACATGTCCAGTGAAAAAAAAAAAAAAGTTAAAAATCTAATTTCATCATAAATCATAAAAAAAGAGGTTATACTTGGTGGACTTAAAGTGGTTCTAAAGGCTGAAGGTTTTTTTTACCTTCATGAATTCTGTGCATGAAGGTTAAAACACCTTCAGTGTTCAGCTTCCCCCTCAGCCCCTTCCTTATACTCACCTGTGCCCAATCCCTATCCAGCAATGTGCACGAGAGCAGAAACTCTCCCAGGTCTCTGGCTCCTCAATGGCTGAGACACAGCAGCGGGTGGGGGGAGCAGAGACACAGTGGCAGCTTGGGAGTGAGCATGCCAGCCAGCCAGCCAATCAGCTTGCTATGGGGGCACTCAGCAAAAGGGAGGGGAGACCAGGAGCACTGGCAGGGAACGGAGAAGAGGAGGATAGGGGCTGGAACGTGCAAAACCATTGCACAGAGCAGGTGAGTATGACAGGTTTGTTATTAAGAAAAAAAAAAAAAAGCTGGACCTTTGCAAATGCTTAAAAAAATAGGATGTCCCTTGCAAGGTCCTGAGTCTAGAATGAATAGGAAGTTGATGTTCCTGATAGAAGCTATTACTTTGTGGTAGGGGTAGCTAAGGTAATCTGCCTTCCAGCTGTCCACTCCTGGGATGTGGACAGCAGAGATCATTGGACAGTTTTTCTTTGTCCATGATATGATCTGGCTTGCTTCCTTTTAGAGGATATTCACCCTGGAAACCATTTAAAAGTCAGCAGCTACAAATAATAAAGCTGCGGACTTTTTTTTTTTCAATAAAGCACTCTTACCTGTCTAGGGACCCAGCGCTTTCCTGGCTCGGGCTGGTTCTTGGATGGTCATTGCTTAACCAGCATGTTAACTGTGGGAAGTAGGCTGTGACTGCTTGCAACTTCACAGCCAGCTTCCTACTTCGCATGCGCTAGCTGAGCTGCGCTTTTGTAAATGGTCTTGCAGCCTTGTGGGATCTGTGACATGTCCCAGAAGGCTGTGGGCAAAGAGAGGGGCTGAACTTCTGCTCATATCGCCTAGGAAGTATGAGCAGAAGTGGGAGCAGTTGCCTCTCAAAACGAAGTACCTGTTCCTCTCCCCAAAAAAATATTCAAAATATTAGAGGGGGGAGGAGTAGGAAGAAAAGCAAAACTTCCCCTTTTAGGTGAAGTTCCGCTTTAAGGCTGCATGACTCCTGGTGCCCTCTTGATGAATGATGCAGACCATAGCCGTAGCATTGCTTCCACTCCAAAACCTACCCCATCCCACATGTTTCGCCCTTCTGACGTCTTCAGGGACGCCACCAGAACATACGGGTGCCATAAAGGAGGACAAAGGGAAGTTGGTTACAAATGACAAGGAAAAGGCAACTGGTTTTTACTAAGGAAAAAGGAGGGGTATAGTAGTCAAGATTGCATCATTAGTAAAGCATCACAGGATGTACCCTTGTGGCTTACAGAAGATTGTATCCGAAAAAGACTTGAAAAGCTTAATGCAAATAAATCACCAGGACCAGGTGGCTTACACCCGAGAGTCCTCAAATAACTCAGTCAGGTTATAGTCAGGCCACTATTCCTAATTTTTATGGACAGCATACTAACAGGAATGGTACCAGCTGATTGGCAAAGGGCCAACGTGGTACCAATATTTAAAAAAGGGCAGAAATACAATCCTGGAAACTACATGCAATCAGTGTTATACTGGCTATTGGCAGCTATGATAAGGGACTATATCCAAAAGTTTGCTGATAAAAACAGTATCACTAGTAGTAATCAGCATGGCTTTATGAAAGGTCGTTCTTGCCAAACCAACCTTTTAACATTCTATGAGGACATGAGCTGCCACAGATAAAGGAATGGTGGTGGATGTGGTGAACCAGGATTTTGCAAAAGCATTCGATACAATTCCCCATAAGCGCTTAATTTACAAACTGAGGTCAGTAGTGACCAGAGGGTTTGTTCATGGATAGAAAACTGGTTACAGCAGTGCATCCAAAGGGTGGTGATTAATAGCGTGTATTCAGACTGGTCTGGGGTGGTAAGTGGGGTACCCAAGGGCTCTGTCCTGGGACCAATTCTTTTTAATTTTTTCATAAATGATATAGGAATTGGTATATATAGCTCAATCTCAGTGTTTGCTGAGGATACAAAGCAAAGTAGCGCAATAACGTCACAGCTGGATATAAAAACTTTAAAGGATGACCTCAATAAAGTTAAGGAGTGGGAAAATACATCGCAAAGTAGGTTTAATGTTGAAAAATTTAAAGTACTGCACTTTACAAATATGAACGCAATTTACACGCTAGGGGGGAGAACCTGTGGGGAAATCCAGGATAGAAAAGGATCCCGGGGTCCTAGTTGATGACAGGCTCAGCAATGGCATGCAATGCCAAGCTGCAGCAAGCAAAGCTAACAGAATATTAGCATGCAGAAAAAATATTTACTCCATACATAAAACTATATTCCTGCCACTTAATAAAATTCTGATTTGGCCACATCTGGAGTATGCCGTCCAGTTTGGTCACCAGTCCTCAGGAAGGATGTGCTTGAACCAGTGAGAGTCTAGAGAAGGGCAACAAAGTTAGAAAGGGGACTGGAAGATCTCAATTACAAGGAACGACTACAAACATTAAACTTATTCTCCCTGGAGAAGAGACATTTTGAGAGGAAATATGATAGCGATATACAAATACTTCAATGGCGATTCTAGCATAAAGAATAAACTATTCAGTCTCAGGGAGTATAGGAACACATGGGACCACTTAATGAACTTGGAGAAGCAGTGATTTAACTTTAAACTGCGTAGAGTTTTTTTTCAGTGTCAGAGCAGTAGGGATGTGGAACTCGCTTCCACAATCAGTGGTGTCAGCAGGAAGTATTGAGAGTTGAAAAAAAAAACAAAAAAACTCTTAGATAGGCATCTTAGCGAACACAACATACAGGGATATGGGATACAATTTTTGACATGAACACAAACACAACCAGGAAGGTTGAACTGGATGTACTGTCTTTATTCTACCTTACCAACTATGTAACTATGTTAGGGTGGAACATGTAGGGCGGGGTTGGTTTTGTAGTAAACACATCCCCCACAGAGAGCCTATCATGCTCACAGCTTGTTGTTTTGTGTGTCTGGAACTGACAGCACTATTGAATACACGCATTATAAACCTTAGTGTCAGGGCAAGACAAATCCAAAAGTAAGTAATTTTATTTTTAATGGTTTTATATAAATTAAAACAATTGAGTACTGTCCGTGATACTTTTTTTATTTGCACTAACATACAATTTTGAGGACAAGCTTTCGGGGTATGGACAGTACTCAATTGTTTCTGTCGCAAATGCACTAATACGGCTACAATCACCTCATATAAATTAAAAGAATTTTAAACTATGCAGTAGTTGTTTGTTCACTGCGTATGGTCTCAAGGAAAGAGCAGGTGGATCTGAGGTGCGTGATACAAAAAACTAAAGTTTGCTGCTGACTTACAGTATGTTTGGTAAGCAGCTATTGCTTCCCAACGTGGACACACATTGGAGGAGAGATTTCTTTTGGAACACAAGCACTTTCTCCTGGATGAACGTTGCACATGGATTTTGTTGCACCTGAGCCTGTTTAATTATATGGGTCACTTTATTAATCTGAATGCACTAGACACTTTATTGAATATATGGATTGATAGCACAGGACCATTTAATATATGATATTATAGTACTGGACACTTTATGAATTTGTTCATGCAATGTTTTTATTTTTTTGCATTGTATTTGGTAATATTTGCACATGGTTTTCAGTTTTTGGGACACTTTACAAATTGGTATTTATATTTTTTTGGATTTTGCACAAATTTCAGGAAGTTGCACTGTGTATTATAATGTTCGGTATTGCTAAAAAGGAGAAAGCATAGTCACAATTTATAGGTTTTTTTTATAAATGCTTTTCAGTGACAACAGCTTTTCCTTTTCCAGATGTGTTTTTTCCTATGTTGCACAGACTTTTGTTTGGTATCAAGTCCTAAATACTTCACCAACCCACCCAAGCCACAAAATGTATTTTACCCTTTCATGACCAATAGGCAGTGCTGTAACTGTATAAATGTTCTTCTTTCCATCATAAACTGGTTTTCTGTCACCAAAGATCTGAGGCTTGAAGTGCTGGACCATGTATTCCACAACTTCCCTAAATGGCAAATAAGACAATGAAAAGTGAAAGAAAAAAAAAAAAAAAAGTGTCACAAATGTAATATGTGAAAAAAGGGAAAACAAACAGGACTTTGTATTTTATATTATTGTAGAGAAGTATAACTCAAGAAATACTTTTGCAACCGTTGTTTCTTAAAGCCCTGCTCCAGGAAATTTGAAAACCTTGCCTTGCAGCAAGGCTGTGCCCGCACTGCAAAGCTTAACTACTTGCTTATTCTACAGGACATTTTACCACTTACATGGTCCTCCACTTTCCCAGCAGATGACGCTCCTCCATGCTCTGTCGGTAGTCTTTCCTCTGCCTCATCACACCCAATACAGGACTAAGGGCACTCCACTGGTCTTGATGACATTAGGACATAAAACCGATGGAGTGTCCCCAAGACCTAAATGTGTAATTAATCCTTAAAGTGTGACACAGTCCACCGCAAGGGAAAATTTTTAAGTTTCCCAGAAAAAAGCATTGCAGTGGGGCCTTCCCACATGGCAGGGATAAAATACTAGTCAAGTCTAGGAGTTGAGGAATAAGCTGTAATATTAACCCTATTCATTATTCCAGCAGCTTTTATCCACGCTGTAGGACTGGTTCCTTGCAGCCTCGTACGCTGACATCATGTACAGTGCAAGACCAATAGTCCTGCACTGTAAATGAGGGAAAAAAAAGGGCCTGCCTACAACCTGAATTCTCAGAGAGAGAAGTACTGTGGAAGCGAGAAATAATATTACAGCCTTTTCCCTTTAAAAAATTCTCGTTTTTTACATTTTTAAAACTATTCTTTAATCTCAAAGGGGACCAAGTGCATATAGAATGTGGTGCCATTCAGATCAGTGTGCTCTCTAGACTTAGGCCATGTAAAATGACAAAGCGGGGTCAGCGCATTCTGAAGCACACAGAAGTCACCAACTGTCTACAGAGTCAATAGTTAAAGACCTCCAAACTTCATGTGGCCTTCAGATTATCACAACAGTGCATAGAGAGCTTCATGGAATTGGTTTCCATGGCCAACCAGCTGCATCCAAGCCTTACATCACCAAGTGCAATGCAAAGTGTCAGATGCAGTGGTGTAAAGCCTGCTGCCACTGGACTCTAGAGCAGTGGAGACGTGTTCTATAGAGTGACGAAACACACTTCTCTGTCTGGCAATCCGATGGACGTGTCTGTGTTTGGTGGTTGCCAGACGAACGGTACTTGCCTGACTGCATTGTGCCAAGTGTAAAGTTTGGTAGAAGAGGGATTATGGTATGGGGTTGTTTTTCAGGGGTTGGGCTTGGCCCTAGTTTCAGTAAAGGGAACTCTTAAGGTGTCAGCATACCAAGACAATTTCATGCTCCAAACTTTGTGGGAACAGTTTGGGGATGGCCCCTTCCTGTTCCAACATGACTGCACACCAGTGCACAAAGCATGCTCCATAAAGACATGGATGAGCGAGTTTGGGGTTGGAGAAACTTGACTGGCCTGCACAGAGTGCTGATCTCAACCCGTTAGAACACTTCTGGGATGAATTAGAGCGGAGACTGCAAGCCAGGCCTTCTCTTCCAACATCAGCGCTTGACCTCACAAATGTGCTTCTGGAAGAATGGTCAAACATTCCCATAGACACACTCCTAAACCTTGTGGACAGCCTTCCCAGAAGTGTTGAAGCTGTTATAGCTGCAAAGGGCGGGCCAACTAAATATTGAACCCTACATAATAAGACTGAGATTTAATTAAAGCTCATGTGCATGGAAAGGAAGGTGTCCCAATACTTTTGGCAATATAGTGCATCTCTACTACTTATAAGCGACAGTTTTATTTCACTCCCGAAGGATACACGGGACACTCAAAGCTGTCAGAGGAGAGAAGCACACAGAACAGCAATACCCACCCTTCCCCTCTGCTATCCATTCATAGAAGCCTTTGTATTTTGTGAATGAGTTCACATAATACAAAGGCTTCTCTGAATGGGCAGAAGGAGGGGAGGGGGGCTGACATAGCAGTTCCAGCAACTACTATCTACTTAAAGCACAATAAACATGTCAAATGTGAATAATAGCAATATGTTTACGAGGTGGCAGGCACCTCCTTATAGTTAACTCATGTTATACCTACAGTTTTTTACAAAGAAGCTGAATTACTGGAATTCAGCTTTAAGCCCAAATTAAGGGTGTTCCTGTACGGGGAGGTACAACCTGCACTGAGCCTTGCCCCCTTTCTAAGATGACTGTTTTTGACTATTATGAATAAAAAAAATCAGCACTGCCCTGGAAGCTTTGATTGTTTATTTATAATAGTAAAAGATCACACAGCTCTGCAGTGTTTGTATCTTTACAAGCAGCTGCATATAGATACACCAGACCTGGCCAATGGATCACAGCCCAGGAATGCAATGTGATCTTTCTTTTTTATGAATAAATCAGGGCTTTTGGGATTGTGTATGACGCAGTCATGCAGCGATGATCATTAATTCAAAAAAGTGAAAGATCACATAATGCTGTGGTGCTGTGTCATACACAGCACCAGTCCCAAAAATGCTGATTGCTGCGGGGTTGTGTATGTTTACAAGCAGCCGCAGATAGACACATACTCCCACAGAACTCCGTAATCTATTACTATTATGAATGAACAATTAGTGATGCCAGTGGGCTCTCTTACCACGCTGCTTAGTGGACCAAATGCTACATGCATTTGTTCGCCTAAAAGATTAAAATAGAACTTCATTCATCAACTTAGCTATTTTCGAAAACAGGCATGCTGTGAGTGCTAACTTTTCACATTTGCTTGTGCAATCAACCAAACCGTCAAGTCGTCAAATGGCTAGTGTCATAACTAATCACAAGTGCATGGCAACTGCAGATCAAATAGAGGCTAAGATGGCTGCTTCTTTGGCTGTAAAGGATACAATGGTGTAGTTCCACTGTGAATAAACATTTTAAAGGTCTAAAGCTGGCCACATGCGGTTTGACTCTCCGGGACCGGTTGGGCAGGAACAGGCCAAGATTCGAAACATGTATGGGCAGGCTGAATGTATCCAAGATGATCGATGGATCAGCTTGCATGCAACCAGCCTGTGAGCTTCTACATGCAATTAAAGTGTTACTAAACCCACAACAGTAAAATCAGTCTGTATATGAAGTAAAGCATGCTTGTTATACTCACAGTGGAACCTAAGTGGTTAATCCTCTGCATTGTGTAAAAATGCTGTTTGATCCTGAATTCTCTGGTCCTCCCCTTCTTAAAATACACCCCTCTTATCTCCTGATAAGACATATGGTGTGGAGACACTCTGCACATGCTCAATTTGGTGTGTATTGCTAGAGGAGTTTTCTTTCCCTTGGGAGATGCATGTGATCAGCACAGGGCCAATCAGCACTGTTCAGATAGAGGTCAGTGGTTCTGCATCCTCCTAGAGCAGAACGAAAACCCCTCCTACAAGCTTTAACCAAAGCTCTCCTGGACACTGATAGAAGTCACAAGACTGCTCTAACTGCTGATGAGAAAAGGTATTTAGCAGTTTTTTTTATATAATTGCATTCCTATGTACTGTGGGAGACCAGATATAGTGAATGCAGGGTCCTGGTGGTAACACTTTAATTCTAGTGGCTATTATAGTAACTTGCAGTAATCACTGTGTTCTCCTGGCAGGGAGAACACAATGGCGCTGCTGGAGGGATTCCTCCATGATGGGGGAATTGAGCGATTTTTGGTGGGTACCGAGCCTCGCTGTCTGTGTCTATTGATGCAGAGAGCATGGCTTGAGATCGAGCCCAAAAGGTGTGAAACAATAGGAAGCTGCTTGCTGTGGTGGCACACCAAGAAGAGGAGGTGCCATAAGCACCAGTGGGGGACCCGAGAAAGAAGGTTCAGGGTTGCTCTGTGCAATGGAATTGGTAAGGTAATTATAAACCTGTCTGTTATTAAAAATAGAATATACAATCACTTTAGCAATGGCTTTGTTTTTTTAATTAGTTACATAAAAGAATCTTAAATAGTTTTGTTTTTTGTTTTTAATTAAAATGCTCATTGGATCAGAAATAATATTGTGTGATTTTAAGCTTTAAACTAAGCCACTTCTGTGGAATGGAGACTTTGTAATGTGTACTAAACAGAATAACTGCATTACCTGTTGACACGACGGGGACATTTATCTGGCTTGATATCAACCTCATAGTGGTAGACGTCAATCTTGGGAATGTCGACTTCAAAGTAGTTGGCAAGAAGTTTTATTGGCTTCCCGACTGTGCCAATGCCAGGTCGTCGTGGGGCTTGGAACACTTGCTGTAATGGTGGAACATACCCAGTTTGGGCTGTCATGTGGAGAAAGAAAGGGAAATGATCAATTAAAACATTGAAATCCCTATAGCTGTAAATAAACTGAAAAAACACATCCAGCAGAATGCAGCCTAGGCAGACAACTGTGAACGGAAAAGAGGTGTCTATTTTATTCACGTAGAACATTCCTCCATATGCCCCATCTTCCAGGGATGCAAAGAGATGAAAGTAGGCTCATTAAAACAATAGCGCTGTACTTTAGAAACCCTGAAGCTAAAAAAAAAAGGTTTTATTAATGTTTCACTCTTTTATTTCACAATGTTTAGTGGCCATTTGAGTAATTAAAAATGTAAACAGGCAAATCTCTCTATCTTAATGCCCACAAACCACAAATTCTGTGTCTGCAGGAAACACATTTTTTTGATTCTAAGATTCTGGCACTAAAAATGCATTGGGTGGCAAGGAGTTACACTCTGCGTATTCCAACTTTGCCCGTGGAGTCTCTGTGCTTATAAAGGTTTCCCATTTAATTGCCTACATACTATATTTGACTTCAAGGGTCAGTATGTCACTCTTCATTGTAAAACCTATACTGCTTCACTTATACTGATGGTAGTTTATGTCCCCGCTGCCAATTACAACCATGCTATTTACAGATATTAGTGTCTATTTGCCTAACTTCACTACACCAAGTGATTTCAACATTTTGCCAGTTTGTGAGCAGTCTGTGGTTATGTAGATGTGTGGTGTTAGAAATGTTCTTTGATCATAGGAAATTTCTGTCAAAGGTTACTAGGCTCTTTCCAGTCCTGACTATGAAATTGGCTACACCCGATTTATAAACCTGTGTACAGCGTATTTCCGAACATACTCAAACACTGTCAGGCGACCCTGCTCTTGAATGGACAGCTGAGACATAGACCCTCTTTTAGTACATGGGCCTCCAAACACGTGATAGGTAGTTAATAAAATAGATGTCTAATTTATGCCCCTTGAAAGCTTGCACGCTCCTTGGATTTTTGGCCCCATTTTGTGGCTAGGCTGCAAAAGAGTCTCACAAATGTGGCAGTGCCATACTCAGAAGGAATAGCAAAATGTGCTTTGGAGTAGGGATTCACTGAAATTTTGAAACGTTTCAGCCGAAAACACCCCTATCAGCCTTTGGCCAATATGATAAGTGAAGGAAATGGCCTCCATTCATCTCTATATTCTTGGAGGACCGGAGCGATGTCACTTCCGGTTTCAGCACCTTGTAAACAAGGCCATTTTTTTTTTTTTTTTTTAAATACTAGATCAATGCTTTTTTTGATCTAATGCTTTACATTGTAGTTAAGAGATGTGGGGTCTTATTGACGACAACTTTGTGAAATAAATTCCAATTTTAATTTACTTTAAATTTTATTTACTTTCTTCATTTTCCCAAAAGTGGTGGCAAAAAAAAATAATTGCATCTTAAAAAAAACACAGAATGCCTCTTAACTAAATACTTTGGACTGTCTACTTTCCAAAAAGGGGTAATTTGGGGAGTATTTACTGACCTTGCATTTTAGAGTTTCAAAAAAATGAGACTGGCAATCAAAATATAGAATACACATAACTTTCTAAGAGACTAAATATTATTCACCTATTTTTTTTTTTTCCAAAATGTAGCAGACAAATGTAGCAGAATGCATTTGGGCAAAATTTATTAAGAAATGTTACTTATTTGCAAAGTTTAACAAACTAAAGAAAAACATAAAAAATCCAGTGGTGATTAAATTGTACCAAAATTAATTTTATATCATTTTTTGAGAATGATATAGCTTTATTTTGGTTTTGTGTTACATGACTGGGTAATTGTTATTCAAATCAAGACAGCACTGAAAACTGAAAAATGGCCTGACCTGAAAGGAGGTTTTTAGTGGTTAGACAGTGACTTTAACCACTTGCTCTCCTGAGCATTTACCTTACTTCCTGACCAGGCCATTTTTTGCATTACATTGCTGCGTTACTTTAACTGACAATTGCGCAGTCATGCAGCGCTGCTCCCCAAATGAAATGTACGTCCTTCCCCCACCCCACACGATTAGAGACCGACAATTTTGAGGAAAAAAAACAAACAAACTATTTTTTGCTAGTAAACATGTCCAGTAAAAAAAATTTGTAAAATCAAATTGTCAGAAATTTAGGCCAAAATGTATTCTGCTACGTCTTTGCTAAAAAAAAAAATCCCAATACGTGTAAATTTATTGGTTTACGTGAAAGCTATAGCGTTTACAATTGGTGGTATATATACTTGGATTTTTTTTCAATTTTCACTAGTAATGGTGGCGATCAGCGACTTATAGCGGGACTGCGGCGGGCATTCTGACACTGGGAGGAACTGACTTGGTGTCACTGACATCCCCAGTAACACCAATACAGTAATCAGTGCTGAAAAAAAAAAAAAAAAAAAAAAAAAAAAAGCACTGACACTGTACTAATGGCACTGGGCAGGACAGGAAGGGGTTAACAAAAGGCGCAATCAAAGGGTTAATTGTGTGCTGTTTTACTTGTGTGTGTGCTTCACTGTAAGCACACTGCTTTGCGTGGCTGTACTGTGCACGGCCATCCAAAGCAGTGTGCACAAACTGACAGGGAGAACTGTTTTGTTTACAAAACAGTTGTCCCCGTCGGAGATGCTCGGCAATCACCGGGCGCCGGTGAGTAACCACCAGCCGGGACCCGGTGATTGACAGCCACGGCCGCGAATCCTACCATCCCTATGGGCTCAATATAGACTGGAATCTCACTGTTCTATAAATAATAGCCAGCTTAATGGATATTTATGTACAAACATTTTTTTTTGTCCTGTTGTATATGTATTTTTTTTTTACCTACTTTGATGTAATTTTGTAGGAAGTTTGCCTATATTGCATTTTAACAAACTTCATTTTAAGTTGTCCACTATATGGCGTAGATTGATTCAAATTAACTTAATATCCGTTTATTGCACAAGAAGATTCCTTCTGGTGTCTGTCAAATTATGCCGAAGAGGTGGTGAAAGAACCTATATCTATAATTGGTTGCATTCAGCTTCCCTCCACAATTCTTATGTCAGACTTCTGGGAATTTCCCCCAGTCCTCAAGGATGATATTACAATACCCCCCAAATTCCCCTTTTTTGGAAAGTAGACAGTCTAAGGTATTTAGGTAAGAGGCATTCTGAGTTTTTTAAAATGTAATTTTTTTTTTTCTTGCCACCACTTTTGGGAAAATGAAGTAAATAAAATTTGAAGTAAATTAAAATTTGAATTCAAGATGCACTTGGCCAAAAACTAAACCCGAAACATACAGTATTTAAAAATGTTATATATTTTTCAAACACAATTTTTTTGGGGAAAAAATACACTTTAATGATTAAAAAAAAAACAATATACACCCCAACTTTTTTGTAAAATATGAAAGATGATGCCAAGTAAATAGATACCCAACATGCCTTGCTTTAAAATTGCGCACACTCTCTTGGAATGAAGTCACGGTACTTAATCTTCATGGGTAACGCTTTAAAAATCTCTACAGGTTACCAATTTGAAGTTACAAAAGGAGGTCTAGTACTAAAATTATTGCTGTTGCTCTGACGTTCGTGGCGATACCTCACATGTATGATTTGAACACCATTTACATATGTGGCTTACGTATGCGTTCCTCTTTATAGAAAGATATGGGATATGGGGTCAATAAGACCCCACATCTCTTATCTACAATGTAAAGCATTAAATCAAAAAAAGCATTGATCTAGTGCTTAAAAAAAAAAAAAAAAAATGGCTTGGTTTACAAGGTGCTGGAACCGGAAGTGACATAGTGACGTCGCTCCGGTCCTCCAAGGATATAGAGATGAATGGAGGCAATCTTTCCTTCACTTATCTCTTTGCTCAGTGCTGGGATCGTTCATTGGTTTCTCAGGTAAGGCTGAGAACCAGCAAGCGTCCTTGGTGGGGTTATTTAGGCACCTGTGTCGGTGCTTATTTTCATATCAGCCAAAGGCCGATAGGGGTTTTTTCGGCTGAAACTTTTGAAATTTTGGTGAATCCCTACTCCAAAGCTCATTTTGCTATTCCTTCTGAGTATGGCACTGCCACATTTGTAAGACTCTTTTGCAGCCTAGCCACAATACGGGGCCAAAAATCCAAGCTTTCAAGGGGCATAAGTTAGACATCTATTTTTTTAGCTACCTATCACGTGTTTGGAGACCCTGGAGTGCCAGGACAATAGAAACACCCACAAAATTACAAACACCCAAAAGCATTTTTTAAGAGGCATGGTGAGTATCACGCTGCAACAAATGTTCTCCAGTGGATGTTTGTTTATTGACCTGGTTCAGAGCTGATAGCATTCTCTCACATCAACAGCATGAAACACCTTGGACTCTCTTATGACATAAACAGATTTATATCTTCGCAATTTGACAGTGCATCTTTATATCCTTTGAGGCACTCAAGCAGAAAAACCAAGTTCACAATAATTTATTTTTCATATACCTTCTGCTGTGTCACACTTCTGTTACTCAGTTTGGTGCCTAAAAAATGAAGTTGTCCACATCTCCACTGTAATACTAATTATATTGCTTTGGTCACGCCAAACTTACTGCCGCTTTTTTTTTATAAAATATACGCAAGCCAAAAGGATCTAATCCATTTGAGACCTCCCACCAGAATTGGCTCCAATATATACCTGACCATACGGAGGATAAATGGGATGAAGTTACTGTTACTTGGTTTCATGATGAGTATATTCGTATTGGGGACAAGATCACACAATTCAAATTCAATCATCACCTACACTGGGGGTCAACAACCTGTAGATCACGATCTACCAGTGGATCACAGCCAGGTGACTGGTAGATCGCAGTATAGGCTTGCTGACCTACCATCCCAGAGCATCAAACAGAGTGCAATGCAGAGGGACTACTTGTAAAGTTGGAGCTGTAGTAGGGAGCAAGAACTGCATAAGCCGATGCCCCCTCTGTAGTGCTGGCACCTGTCCCATGCGTGATACAAACTGCACTACATCTCTTATCCTGG